TCACTGTGTTCATTCTACACAGGTTTCACCGTGTTCATTCTACACAGGTTTCACCGTGTTCATTCTAGACAGGTTTCACTGTGTTCATTCTACACAGGTTTCACTGTGTTCATTCTACACAGGTTTCACTGTGTTCATTCTACACAGGTTTCACTGTGTTCATTCTACACAGGTTTCACTGTGTTCATTCTACACAGGTTTCACTGTGTTCATTCTACACAGGTTTCACTGTGTTCATTCTACACAGGTTCCACTGTGTTCATTCTACACAGGTTCCACTGTGTTCATTCTACACAGGTTTCACTGTGTTCATTCTACACAGGTTTCACTGTGTTCATTCTAGACAGGTTTCATTAATCATAAAACTCACCTGGCATCTAAGAATCTAGATCTTAGTATCATGACAGCCTCACATGTGCTCTGTTTGAGTTGCATTTGTATAGCATTAAATTTCCTGTGAATAATGGCAACCATACGTTCTATTTCTTTTGGTGCTATTGGACGTGTACGACTTTGTTCGCGTAAAAGGTTCATCACATGGGTGGTAAATTCATTACAAGCCTGCAGGAAAAAAATATGATTAGTTCAAAATATTTTAGGAAATTGACATTAACAATAAATTGCAAATGCATATAGTTGTGTTACATTAAATATTTCTGATCCAATTCATATATTAGCATGAAAACCGTGTAAACTCTTGAAGTAAAAATTATAGCACCAGTTTCCAAACAGAAAACAATTATTGTGGAAAATAAGAGAATTTAAATCCTTGCCAATAAGAAACCTACATGAAAGTTCTCAGAGATCAGCTAGTCACAATAATCAGTTCAGATTTTTTTGTCTCTATGCATAGACAATTACCTGTTCATATTTCTCCAGTTCTGTGTGGTATATTTGCCTAATTTGTGCTAATTTAGCCCGGTAATCTGTGTGTTCTATTGCGTTATCTGGTTGGCCTGGGCCGCCTCCTGCTGCAGCATTTGTAGCAGCGACAGCTGCAGCAGATCCACCGCCTTTCTCAGGACCAGCAACACCTTCAGCTATAAGCATGTTGTCCAGTCTCATCAACTGTGGGTCTGGCGGCTCTTCCTCTTGTGCTCCACGAATGCTCAGTACTGGCAAATAAAGAAAAAATAAAAATTTTAATTTCTCTACCAAATTATAGACTATGTATAGAATTATCAGGCTTATTTATTCGCTGATATATAAAAATAAAATACTGATTTATATCTATAAAAAATACGAAATAAAATTTCCAAATTATGAAACTTTATTAAGTATTGTTACAGAGCAAGTTGTAACAAATAACATAGAAACTGATCAGCTTTACCAGCTTGTTAGTTACACCAGATTAAGATATTAAAAGATCATAAAACCTCCTGGTGGAATCACATGATGGTTGAAAAAGATTAACAACCCCATACCCTAGGAGTCAGTAAGCCACAGCCTCAACTGTGATACACATGTCTTTGTTGGAGTCTGAATGCAATGTGTGTGCCATAGCTGTATTTCATTCATCACTATTGTAAGCAAGTAATAATATCTTTATTGTAATCCATTATTGAATATTGGTGTAAAAATACATCAAGAAATATATCCTTATTAACTCACGGAAAATATGGAATAAGACATCAGCACTAAATTGCACTGTACTTGTATAACTGTGAATGTATTCATTTTAACTGGTATAATTTCACTATGTTAATGATATGCATTCCAGTAAAATAATGAGATATATTGTAATTACATGTTGAATTTGTTTAAAATAGTGCAGCAAAACCATCGTTACTTTAGGAGATATCAGTGAAAATAAAACCCAGTGAATGTGTTTACAGGATTACAGCAGTTGTAGTTGCTGCTGTCTATCCTAACCTAGAATCCACTTATAAATATTAAGATATTCATAATCCTGTTTTTTTAATTTTAATTTTGGGATATAAGCCAGCAATGATAATGATTAAAAAAAAATTTATTTAAAAAAATCAGTGCGCCATATATGCATGCTTTCAAAATTCTGAGCACACCAATGTAATGGAGCTACCAAAACAATGCCTTTCTAAAGTAAATGAGCAATGACAGGGCTATAAATAAGGCAGCTGCTGATTGGAGCAACAATGCCACCTCTAACCTGCAGTGTGAAGAATCTTGGAACGTGTTGAACAGCGCCCCCAATCATCAGTCAAAAAAGAGGAGCCAATTTTTACAGAGTTGATTCATTTTGAATAAGACACAACAAGAAATATTCACATGAATTTGAAAAAAAATTTAGCATAAAGCATAAAGAAAAGACACAAGCAAGGAAATTAATAATTCACTGTTCCCATAAACAGCATATGAAAGCCTGCTGCCTACAAATTTGTGGCGAACTCATTTTGACAATGAAACTGACTTCGCATGACAAGTATCGTAAAATACCAGAACTCGGCATACGTTAAGTTGATCAAAAAGATCAAATGTCACATTTCTCTGTATGTCACAGTAAAAAATTCAATTTGTGACACAAATTGCAACAGAAGTGTCTAATTATGGAGAGAGAAATGATCTTTTCTGTATAATAATGAAAGTACAGACGACATACATCTGTTTCAGTGGACGCAAAGAGTCATTTGTCATAGTCGTACATCAGGGAACATATGAAATTAATAATTATTCACCCATCTGCAACTGTATGATTCGTTAAATTACATGTCTTCAATTTGAAAAATGTCCATCAATACGGCAAATTATTCCTTTCCATACTATTTTAACAGTTTTCAAATTTGTTTTCATTAATTTTTTAGAATGTTGCAAGAATCTGTTAATGGACGTTTACAAATTGAAAAATTTAACTTTTTATAATCCAGCATAGTGTATTAACGTATTACTACCTATAAGAAAGAATTAGTGAAAACAGTGCCTAGAGTAGGGATTTAAAATACCAGTATGTGAAAGTATTGATATACAAATGAAAATTTTAAATAATGGTGGAAAAAAAACAATATGGTTGGAGCAGACGGTACGTTTATTTCCAGTCTTGCTGCATGCGTCTTTCTGCTCTGACAATGAAAATATAGATGGTGAAATTTAACGATTTCATCAGTTATTATTTTATAGTATCACTTTAATATCAACTCACATAAATTAGCTCAACACTTCTCAAATGCTTTGATACCCCAAGCAGCTATGAAATCGCCCGAAACTAAAATCTGAAACAGCAATAAATTACTATACTATAATACATTAACTTGGATTTGTGGTCATGGCCATTATGTGTAACATGCACGAATTAATAGAGATCAACAGCCGATATCTCAGACAGTTCATTTTGAGTCATGTTCATCAAGATCGAATTAGAAACCAATGCTCGCTAGAGACAAGCATGAGAACACTTTAGTTTCGAATGGACTTCCTTTAGATGGAAGCCTCAGGCTAACTTGATGCTTTTAATAATATCAGTGACTTAAATCATATAAAAGCTAATAAAAAATTGAAATTAGATTCTCATGACCAAAACCATTATTTCAGGAGAGCTCACAATGCTTTATGTGTCAGTGATTTTCTATTTTCTAAAATGACCTTATTTCCGTTAAGTATACTTGGCAATAATGAAAATGCTGAATAAACGATAAACTATCATAGGTGAAAGAGATGCATATGAATTGACTTATAGAACGTAGTCAATGTAAAAGTTAAAGGACCATTTGCTGGAACTTGTGCTTTCCGTACTGAACATCATTTAATGATTGTAAAAAATTAGTTTTTAATGAAATGAAGTCTTTTTTTTTTACAGCATATATACTTTTATTTATTTTCACGATATTTTGGCAAAACTCACCGCCCTCCTCAATTATATGATGGGCAACTGGCACACACTCTGACCAGTAACAAATCTTTCCATGTTTCAGCAAATCAATAAATAAAGACCAAATTTTATCTAATAATTTCTCTATTTTAATAATTTCTCTCTAAAATAGAATTTCTGTTACCATGATCTAAAACAAAGCTATTATTAATTTCAGTTGCAATCACGGATTGTCTTAACTGAAAAATTCGTAATTTTAAAATACAAATACAAAAGGTAGCTCAACCAGTTCTCAAACTTCTTGCATAGATAAAATAAAAACCAACATTACCAGTTTTATCTATTCAAGAAGATTGAAAACTGGTTGAGCTACCTTGTGTATTTTAAAATTACTGATTATTTATTTGGTGTGCTCCCGAGCTCCTAGTATACTTCAATAGTTGCGGTTGGATCGACTTATTCTCTTGCTACAAAATGAAAAATCCGTATCCCTGTCACCAACATTACATATTATGTAAATGAGACTCTAAAAATGCCTTTTGTCATCTGCAATGAAACAATAATTCATGATTTCCCAGACAATATTTTGGTTGGCAAGAACTTTATGACTGATTGATGTAAAAACTAAAAACCCTAAGGTGAACCATTGCTAGGCGTTAGAAAGATACAGAGTTGTGTGCCACATCATCACAAAGGCTGTGTACAGCAGATTGTGTTGATTTTTTATCACTCCATGTGAAGAAAAGTGAACACTGTAAAACAAGTTATTTTCACTGGCATTTAATTTCACTTATTTGATGTTTTGAGGAATTTCATGAACTAAGCAGGAAAACAATTGATCTATTGTTCAAGTTCTATTGTTACTTTAGAAGGTCAAGTGAATTTAATTTAGTGTAACTTAGGTGGTCTTTATACACAGGTTGCTCATACATTATGCTATGGGACTGCTAAAAGTGGTCACTATAGACAGTTGGTCACTATGTATAGACAGTTGGTCACTATAGACAAGGGGTCAGTAACATAGGTTTTACTGTAAAACTATTTTTCAGATCGCTAATAGTCAACTTTTGTAATAAATAATAAACCAAATTCATCTCATATTTAGTCAACCATTTTGATCAAGAACTGCAACCAATTGGAAATTTATGTCAATTTAGCCCAAATTTGACAAATAATATATGAAGAAACAAAAAAAAAGTGAAAAATATTGGACCAAAAAATGATGTCCTCACTCAATACAGAATCTTTTTTTATTGATTCAATATTCAAAGCTATATAACACTAATAAATAAGAATTCCATTGCAGACTAATTAATCTTTTTAAAATAATTAAAAATACCAGTAAGTCGAGACGGTGACTTAACTAGATATATTTGCTCTAGTACTAGCACATGTGCTGATACAAATGACTGAGGAGTGTCTAAGGACAAAACAAGTCATATTTGAATGATTCTGCATACAATAAATGTAATTTTTGCTTTACATATACTTCTATTAGAGATGTGCTTCTAAAAAAAAATTAACACATCTGACATCCAGAGAGTACTGTAAACAATTCATCTATCAACAATGATTTCCTATTTCATATTTTTAAAAACAATTTTTTAAGAAAGCTTGTAAATCTTAAATGTGAATCAAATACTGTAAAATACTTTATTTTAGCTGGAATTAATTTTTGCTGAAAAGACGTTTCTTGGTGGTTTTGTGTGGGATTTATTTTCCCTGATTTTTGAGTTGAATGTAAAATATAGAAAAAAGGTATATTCAAATAATTTTATTATCACTGAATCATACCTTCAGGATTAATTCCTTGTGAAAATAAAGTGTTTTACAGTAAGCAATCAAATTGAAAGAAGGATCCAGATACAATTTGGCAATAATAAAGCTAAACCAGACAACTCCATATCCTGACATGCATTAGGAATGCCATACATAGTCCTGTAACAATAAACACAGTTCCTAATATGGTTGTCATCAGTCCACAGGTAATTTAGTTTAATCTTCATGGGTAACCATGGTAACATTTTTGCTTATTCTCATCATTTCTTAATTAATAGCCATCAGAAAGTCAATTGTCATGTTCATTGAACAGTAGCAAATGCAGGAGTTTAGTGTCTTGGGATGGTATAATGATCCCATTAAATGTAATCTTTTATAGAGCATTGGAAATCACGATGCAACGATGCAAGCTGAATGCCTAATTAAATCCCACATGAACTTGGCATTAATTCCCAAATCGATGGGCATTTTTTTCTATTCAACACACCTGCAGTGATTGATGGAGTATTGTTTTCCTAGTTGTTAACAACTTACTTGTAAATTGCAATGTAAAGA